TGCCTAGGCATGGGTTGTCAGCAGAATACATCACTCCCAATCAGCTGTGCTGCGAGCTGGCTGAATTAGTTGCCTGTTGTTACCTTTGATCTTAACAAGACAAAGCAGGAGATTGAGTCTTGGGCTGTTTCTTTTCTTCCCTTTCCAGAGGTTTCTCCAGAAAGTAAATGCTTGAAACCATAGCAAAGATGTAAAACAGGTACAAAGCATAGCTTGCAACCAGTTGAGTTCTATTCAACGTGAAACCAGCAGAAAGTAACACGAAGAACTCAGAGCAGGTGGTAGCAGGTGAAATTCCTCCTCGTCTACAAGTAGAATCAGACATTTCCAAAGGAAAAAAACTCTGGAAGCACTCCAATGGAGCAGCTTGGTTACGTGCCTCTGGTGTTTCTCTTCCTAACACATCACCGCTCGGTGAATCAAAGTTTTTGGGTTGTTGCTTTTTCTTTATGGGAGTTGGTTTATTTCGGAGGTTGTTTTTTTACTGAGGGGGAGGGGGGTCAGTCTTAACATCCTCAGCTTACGACTGTGCAAATAAGATTCCCAAATCCATTCCTCAGATCAAATAAATGTAATTACAGAGCTTACTGTGGGCGATTCCCAGTGGGAGGGTGGGAGTGGCCACGGGTGGGGCGGCAAGGTGAATGCTGTACATGCACAACAGAGAGAATGGGAATGCACCACACCCATCGTAAAACATGCTGCCACAGCCAGCAACAGAAACCATTAGGGTGGATCATCACACACACCTTCTCATAAAGGCAGAAAGATGGCATGAGATCCCAGGATGAACTCCCAAGTCACAGGGAGATGAGCGTGACTCACCGAGAGAGAAAAGGAACGTAACGTAAACGATGGGGCTACTGGAGGAGCCGTGCCATGTGTCCCCTATTTTCCCCTACGTCGTGTTTCCAAATGGGGTGAATAGGGTACAGCACACACGTACAGCTCGAAAGCTATCAATAAGTACATCAGGAGAGCATCTTATACTAATGGGGTTCAACTCACTGGCACACAAGAAGCAGAGCACAACAGGGCTACCACACGTTGCATGCTGTCTATGAGGTTCCCAACAATTCCTGACCCACGTTCCCTGTTGTGCAGCTCAGCGGTACTCACATGTTTTGAAGCTTCATCCAACATCATCTCTCAGCGTTCGTCTCTGAAATCAGCAGCTTGCATTTTGATTAAAATATGGAGGTGAACTGTAGGGAAAAAAAAAAAAAGCACTTCTTAATAGAAAATATTGTGAATTGCCCTTGGACCACTTGGAAACCAGAAAGTAGACTTGTCATAGTAGAAGGGAAAAGGATCCACTGGAAAATATCTGGAGTATCATAGAATGGTTTGGGTCGGAAGGAACCTTGAAGATCACCCAGTTCCAACCCCATTGCTCCCCCACCAACTCAGGCTCTCAGGGCCCCAACCCAGGATGGCCTTAGGCACCTCCAGGGATGGGGCATTTTACTGATATTGATTAAATGAAGGAAATGAAAGAAAGCAACGTGACACAGATATTGCAGGAAGGGGAAAGAGAAAGTATAAATACTTAGGAGAAGACAAGCTACAAAATGACAGGAGAAAAGGACACCAAACGGGAAAAAAGACGGTCTTCTTGTATCTGTGCCACTCCTCAGATCCACTGCAGACCCATTTGCTCTGAATTCAGTTACTTACTCGCTGTGATCAGCCCACAAACACACTTTGCCGTTATCTCGTGCTAGTTTTACCTGCCAACCAAGTTGGTTATTCATGAAAGAATCACAGTTTCTGTATCATATTAACAACTTTAACTCTTGGAATCAAGTCTGACTTCATGCTTAGATGTCTTATATAAGGCAATGAAATTTCATACTGCTCATTCAGGAAACAGCACAATCATTCATCCAGAAAATAGGATGGAGTATGCAAAGGATAGGGTTTAGGAAATACCAGAGTTGCAAAGCTGGTAGGGAGAGCTAATGTCTTTTTTCATTAGGTTAACTGGTGCTGTTGGAAAGGTGTAGTTCCTATCATCAAGGAACAACGTGTACCAGAAATAGAAGAAAGAAAACAGTAAGAAACCAACACGGCACAACCACATGCAGTACCACGGTGTGTAGACTGAAATTCTGCTCCTGAAAATGTTTTCTAAAAGCAGAGCAAGGCTTAGTGACAATACACAGCTATCCGCATCAGGATCCAGAACAACATTTGGTGTGATTCTGTTGGGTATAAGCTCAGAAAGAAGGTCTTGTGTTCGTTGTAAGCCATAAAAACTCTGATTCTCATCCATAGTGTCTTTTTCACCCAAGATTTCCTACAGAAAGATCCCTGTACGTATGGCAAGTTTTACTCAAAAGGTTTTGGTCGCTTCTACAACAGCAGGACATTATTGGGAACGTGATACTGTTGGGTGCAGATTTTAATCTACAAAACTTAAAAGCAGAATGCAGAAGAAAAAAGAAATCCCAGGTAGTTTGTTCATTCTTGGGTTGGAACCCAACGGTGTGACTTGGAGAGGAAAGAGATGATTTAGTGCTGTGGGGAGGGGGCAGAGGAGAGGAGATCACACAACCCGAGTCAGGCGCGGAGCAGAGAGCTGCCTGAGGCATGCATGCAGGATGAATTACAAATTGGGGAACATCCAAAGCTCACCTTCCTCTCATGAAAACTGATCTCAGCCCCAAGGGATGGAGGGGGCATTTACAGTAAGGTACGGCTTCGGAGCAGCTCTGATGTGTTACACAGCCCAGTGCTGAGCTCTGGGGAAATGCATCGTCGGCAGAACGCCTTCTGATGTCCAGAAATGCACAAAAAGGGATTGTTTGAGCGATGGATGGGTGCCACGGGGCTCCAGTCATGCAGAGCTAATAGGTCAGCTGCTCCCTCGCTTGTCCACACGCTCAGCTGAGGTTACAGTTTCTCACTAATTTCTTTCTTTTTTTCCCTTTTGAAGATAGTTATCTTCTAACAGGAGCCAGAACTGTCACGCAACATTTACAGCAGTGAAATGACATGGGCTGGGAGAAATGGTTCCAGCTACATCTGGGACAGTCACTTTCCTTTTTCCAAATCAAAGCATCATTGTTTTCTTTCACGAATCCCACATCTTGGCAACCCACGGTTTCCTCAGGTTCTCTCTCCCAGTAACAGTTGCATGACTTTATTGCAAATGATTTATTGCAACCCCCGCTATTGACAGCCTCCAATGACCACAAGTTCTTCTCCCTTATAGAAGAAAGTCAGTATGTGGTCTGGAATCTCTTTTCAAAACCCTGCAGTAGCAATGCAGATCACCACTAAGTGCAGGTTATCAGCTTGACCTTGCATCAGGACAAGGCTACTTCCCATCTAATAACACCTTCACTACGCAGAGAGATTTATTACAGCATTAAAAGGCCAGTAAGACTCCTCCTTTCCTATCAGCCTCCATGAGATGATAAACTAAAATTAATAAACAGAGCCTGGCAAAATACTTGGAGGGGGGAGACAATAATAATTTGGCTTTCCTGGTCCACGTTGTATTATCTCTCCAAATAGCCGTGACATACATGACATACTCTATTTCTGACGTGCCCAGTTCACCCTTTAGCCAGTGCTTTTGCTCTGGTTCTGGTGGTAAAACTAATGGGAAGAGAAAACCATTATTATTCTCTGCAATCAAAGCTTTTTTACTTTCTTATTCTGATACTTTCTCTGAAGCTCTTCCCTTTTCTTGATCTGTGAGCATTTGTCCAACGTCTCTTGCAGTGGAAAAGCCATTAGGCAGGACTTGTAACTGCACAAAAGCTCTTAATGAAATTCTAATGCTTAAGACCACAAATTAGGCAGTGGGGTTGAAAAATTGCAGTATAAAGGAGAGGTCAGATACAGCTTTATATAACCTGGAGATCAGTGGGAAAACTGCATTAAGAGGGCAGACAGCCTGGAACAATTACAAATATACATGTGCACATATTTCCAAGTTGTCAGTTTTCCCACCTGCTCCTTTCAAGAGGAGTTTTATGTATATCTCCTCATCAACCTCCAGCTCAGCTACTGGGAATAGGGCCTGTGCCCAAAACACAGTGAACTTTAGCTCACATCATCTCTTTCCTGTACACTCAAGGTCTTATATGCGATTTCCAAGCCCCATTGTACTTTATCCCCTTGGGCAGTGCAGTCTAACTCATCATAAATAGAGATTTCTCTTTGAACTGTAAAAGCAAAACAGATTTTCCACATTTTTCAGTGATATATCTTTGTTAGCCAAGCCCGATAACCCCTTCAGTTATTTACCTAACAGCCATTTAAACACATGGCAAAGACTTTGTGAATTAACTCCTCAAGTGCCTTTCTCCCCTGATTTACACCCCTGAAATCTGAGTTGTGCCATTGCAGTCTTACTGTAAATTTACAGTGAAAAAGGACTACAGAAAAACCAATGGCAAACAAGCTTCTAGAAGATCAAATCCATCCATCTTACTCTGACAAATATCATCAGATGTGTCTGAAATATCTGAAGATCAAAGTTTGGGAACTCATCTGAACACTTGAGATTTAAATTGTGCAGAACATAAGGCACTGATACCAGAAAAAAGCAAAACCATGAGCTGATGGTACTCATCAGTCTTAAGTAATGATAGGAACAAACTCCTTTGTTGTATGTAGTCCCACTAAAAGCAATGACAGTTAATAATTCTCAGTAAAGCAATATTGCTAAGTTTTCTCAAATCCACAGTACTGCATTTTTATTAACTTAAAAAGGCAAAAAAAAAGGAATTATTTCTATTAAGAATAGTGGTAAAACTGCATAATACTGTATCACACTTCATTGCAATTATGCCTAGATAACATTTCTCTGACAGCTAAAGGAAGAACTCAGATTAGGGATACCTCTACTCTTAGAATAGGTCATTGCCCAGCAGAATGCCCAACACTGTAACAGGATGGTTTCTTTTCCACTTTTCAGTTTTAGAAAGTATTGATTGCCATTTTCCTTCGTTACAACAGAATTTCCATCGGAAGTGGATTTGGTAATGGTTTCACTACTTCAGGATCAATCTAATATTAAATTTTCTTCTTCGGACACTTTGGAAAGGGACCAACAAGAGGACCTCATGAAGACACCGGGGGATTCAGTATCCCCAATTCAGCAAACGGTGAGTGCTATGGATCACTGCTGCTCTCCTCCCCCAGAGGTACGAGCTCAGACAGACCCACAAACCCACTGTACATTATGTCCTCTTCTCCCAAGCAACAGCAATTGGACAAGAGGAGATGGCCTCAAGTTGTGCCAGGGAAGGTTCAGGTTGGATATTAGGAAAAACTTCTGAGGGACGTGGTCAGTGGGCATTATGGGGCGGGTTGGGTTTGGACATGAGGATCCTGGAGGTCTTTTCCAGTCATAGAGTCATAGACTGGCCTGGGTTGAAAAGAACCACGATGATCATCTGGTTCCAAACCCCCTGCTGTGTGCAGGGCCACCAACCACCAGACCAGGCTGCCCAGAGCCACATCCAGCCTGGCCTTGAATGCCTCCAGGGATGGGGCATCCACAGCCTCCTTGGGCAGCCTGTTCCAGTGTGAATGTTCCAACCTGAATGATTCTGAGATTCTGTGATTGTTTTCCCTTCACTGAACATAATAACCTGCTCTTGAGTTCAGCTGTGCCTTCCCAAAAAGCATCCACGATGTTACTCACCATTGATGTCAGGGAAAATATGCATAATTTCTAAGCTGTATGTGTTCAGCTCCAGGACCCAGACACCAGTTCTTGTTAAGCCTTTCCCCTGTAGATTAAAGAGTTCTTGAGTAGTTGTTAATTCCATTTTGCTAACAAGAGGGAAGGGAGGAGATGAGACAGGAAGGAGGTGAAGCTGCCTGCCCAGACCCTCCATGGCTCATGGAATGAGTGTGGTTACACTAATGAGAGGAAGTGATGTAACTGCTAACATATCTAGCAACGTGTAACACAAAGAACGAGCTCAAGCCCATTTGATTAAACTTGTGTATGACAGGATTTGCACTTACCATATTCCTGTCATTTAATCTTTCATCATTTGATCACACATCATCTTCTCTCTGGAACAACAGACATCAGCAAGGCAAAAGTTGCCTGTGACATCCTGTTTTCCACGGATAGTTGACAGATTAGGATTATTTCAGCCTTCTTAATTATTCTATCAACTTACCTTTAAACAGGTTTGGACACCAGGTAATGAGAAAAACCCTTCCAAGTTTATCTGTGCGGAGGTGGCAGGATTAGTAATTTTCTAATTATCGTCAATAATGCACATTTTCTACGTACTGGAAAAATATTTGTTCCACCTAACCCTAAACAAATGCCAACGATTCGTTGCAGGATAATCCCAGTTACAGCTGCCAACCGTACGAATCAGACAGCAGGACAGAAAGGAAGAGCTCCGAGTCCTCCCACAGCCCCAGCCCTGCATCTCCAGCCCAGGATCAGCTCCTTGGGAGATATCCCCCCAGCCAAGGGATTCACTGCAGCAAGAACAAATTTCAGGTCTCCTTCAGCACAGAAAAATTCCGGCGGTACAGTTATGAGGAAAACACTGTAGGAAACTACGACAGGTTCCTCAAGAGCAGCAGGAACCCCTTTCACCCCTACAAGAGGCAGATCAGTGAGGATGTCTTCCAGGAAGCACAGCAAGCCCTTCCACCTGAAGGTCCATCTTTCAAAAGCACCAGAAGTATTGAGGGTTTTGAGGGTCTCCCAGGATCTACGGGCCCTGATGAGTCAGAGTCATTTCCAACACACCTTCCAAACATCTCCTCCGAGCAGCCGTGGTGTAACAGCCTCCAGTACAGCACCACAGGTCAAGATCACAATTCACAAGTCATGGTCAGTATATTTTCTATTATTTTTTTCTTCTGTTTTTAATTGGGAAAATAAGGATGCGTTTGGAATTATTTTATCTCAATGCGACTACAGAGATTTTAATCTCTTATGAAGTTGTCTGTCGTGGGCTCTAGCCTACATCTGTATTTATTTGTCAGAGTTCTCTGTCTTAATCCTTTTCCTTCTGAAAAACAATTACCTGAAAGGTGGATATGGGCAAAGGATTTTCCAGTAGACAGGAGCCTTAAAAATTCAAACCCGTCCCGACAGCAGGTTTGATATCACTGTCATCAATCAGCATCCTCAAGGGACAGAATTTTATGGTGTTTCTTCAAGCATGGCACAGCTGCCCAGGGAGGTGGTGGGGTCCCCAGGTCCCCATCCCTGGAGGTGTTCAGAACCATGGAGATGTGGCACTGAGGGTCATGGCCAGCAGGCAACATTGGTGCTGTGTGGATGGTTGGGCTGGATGATCTGAGAGCTCTTTTCCAACCTGTGATCTGTTGAGGATGTGTGCATCTGAGAACAGACACCGATTTCTTACAGTGCCTTTGCTGACCTGCATTTTTCTTGGCAGCAAGAGAAGCTCTTAGATATCAGTTCTACTCACTTAAAACTAAGTACAAAGTCTGTTTATGGTATGTACTGTGTGAAGGTATGAGGAGTCACTCACCACGTGGTGGTATCACTACAAGGCACCTCTGCTGTGATCCAAATTGCAAACCCTACCTTCATCATCTCGTGCAGACAACCAGTGAGCAAACCTGCCAGGAGAGGGCCCTGATCACTGGCTCTGGACTGGTTTTGAGACAAAGAATTGCAGGGTTACTGAAATAAAGGGGGGTAAAAAAGAAACAAAAATAATCTCTAAATGAACTAAGACGATTTAGCAAGGGATGGGGGACGTTTCCAAGCTACTCACACTAAGGATGAAGTTGATATGAACCTCCTGTTTCCTGGATATAATAATATAATCTCATCTGATTTGAGGTTAATGCAAAAGCTGTACACAGTTAATGAGAAAAATCCCATTTTCTTCCCAAATTCAAAGCTGCAAAGAATGTAAAATTAGCACTGCATGTGCTCTACTATAAGTGCCTCTGACTGCTCAGACCAACTGCTCATTCATGCCTCCACTGGTTCCATTAAAGAGCAACTTCTAAGCTCCTACACAGCTTACAGGCTGCTGGCAAGTTGATATTTCTGGACCAAAACATCATCTTATGGTCACCAAAATAGCACAAACATTTGTTAATACTGGATGTGGCACTGGGATGACCAGAGGATGGTAATAAGGTACAATGAAAGACAAGTCAGGACAGCAGCTGATGGCATTAAACTGAGGTGTTCTCTCTAACAATGCTTTCCTTAAATATCTTCTAGCAGGATTCAGACCTCAAGCTTAGGACATCCCCACTGGAAGGGCAGCCTGGGTTGTACTGCTATCAGCCCCAAGTGCAGCAGATGTACTGCTCCTCACATCCCTTCCATCAGGTCAGTACCGTATGTTGAACCAAAAATGCTCTGTTTCTTGCGCTATAGCCATATAGCAGTCACAGGAACAACTCTCTCCCTTCCCCAACCCCCCCAAAAGATAGATGAAAATACCTCCTTTTAAAGTAAACAACAGCAAGACGATGCTCCCTGAGTTCGGTGGCTCATCCATCTCCTCTGCAATCTTTTGGCTCTTGTATCATCCCCAGTGAAAGAGTATTCAGCTGAAGCATAACTGACTACAATGCTGATGCATGACAATGCACAATTTTAAGGCTATATACATGTATATAAAATATATCAATGAAGTGAGCACGCTTCCCTCTTCACTGCTGTTTTGATACCAGTGATGTTACCACCCATCTGCATTAAGCACATTCAAAAACCCCATAACCTTACAGCTGTCTTCTGGGAACTGCTAGACAAGACACAACAAGCATCGTGGGAGGAGAAAGTCTCCCATCCACCTGCAGGTTGGCAGAGTGACAGCTCTCCTCCAGCAGCAGGCTTTGGTCAGAGCTTGTGCTACTTGATGTTATGAAAGCATGGCAACGGATTCTACTAATGAAAGGAAAGTGAGGGGTATCAGCAGGCAAAGTCATGACAGGCTGAGATGCTGTCCATGTGCCAGTGTCAGATGCTAGGAGATGAGCAGTGACACAAGACAGAAGAAATGGAACAACACCTTTTGCACGTATTAATGTCTTACCTCTCAAATGTGAATGGAACGGACAGCTTAAATCACTATGGAGTTAAACTCAGCCCCCTAGCCTGGAGCAACTACACTTCTCTTTTCATTAAGGGATGAGAGAGATCAACTCCTTCATTAACTCAGTCCAAACGATAAAGTGGCCTCACCTTCCCCTTTGCTGGACACAGCACAGATGGTGACTCAGCTGGAAAATTACTTCTTATGGACCTGAAAGAAGTGGCAGACACTGCTGGAGCCACCAACCCACCCACCATAAAACACGGACAGCTTTCATCCAGCAGAACCAGCTCCAGCCAGTCGTACCAGACCATTCCCCTCCTTGCTCCCTCAAAAAGGAGTAATGAGACCAATAAAACAGAAATCATCGTGAAAACACCCAGTTCTTGCTTTTGGTAGCAACATCCCAGCCAGTTCCTTCTTAGAACCCTTTCAAAGAGGCACTGAAACCAATGGCAGGAAGAAACTAAGATGTATAAATTAATTACCAGGAAAATTTTCTTGATGACTCTGAAAAATCTATATTAGAGTCTTCAGAGGAACCATAAAAACTCATGACACAGGGCTTGTAGAGGTGAGCAGCACCGCACCAGAACATGGCTCAGCAACCCTTGAGCACCAGCAAAGGCACGCAAGCAGATTTTTAATAGCCTGTGACACGATTCCTAATTTTGGCCATGCCCTACCCTTGGCATCTGGAAAGATTCAGCTGTAAGAGGCAGAAATTCCTCTCTTACCGACTGCGAGTTGAGCGGGAGCCTTCGCCACACCAGGAGCCAACTGATGGTATCTCAGCTCCGTGGGGCAGCGCTTCTTTGTTCTTGAAAGCTGCTTGCCAGCAGGTTGGAACTGCAATTCAGAACAGAACAATACGTGACCAACCGCTGCGATAGGAAATGGAGAGCACTGGCAGAAACCGTGTTGCAATCAAGGCAAGGCACATGCTGCATTTCATTTGAGCTGCCTGCTTTTTTGCACTGGTGTATTTCTATCAGGGTGACTTCGTGATGGGCCATCCATCGCTGAGTGCATTGAGAATTGGACATGCCTGGAGATCTCTTGAAGAGACGCCATTAAAGGGATGGCCAGAGGAGTAAACTCTTTATATGACTGTGCATGATCTGGAGATGATAGATAGGGTACAACGACCCATTTTTCACAAGTACTCAGTAGAATAATGGGCAATAATAAACAGTTCTTTAGCATAGAACTCACTGCAACAAAACTGGTAGCAGCCAACATCCCAGCCCATTCCTCTCCAGCTTCTCCCCCTTCTTAGCAGCACCAGTGCTTCTCAATACCGTGCTAGACAGACTTCAGTTCTGCCTTTGCATAAGAGCTATAAAACATAGGTAGAGGACAATGTCCTCAGAATTAAAGCTTAGTATTTCTATAAAGAAAGAAGCATTCTGAGAACTTGTTGCCAAGCCGTGTGACATCTTTGTTGTCTCCCCAGTACCCATCTGGAGGCAGCTACCCGGTGACCTACATCACCTCTTCGCACTACCCCTACCAAAGGATTGCTCCTCAAAGCACTCAAGAATCCCAGCAGCCTCTATTTCCCAAGCCCATCTACTCCTACAGGTGAGAAAGCATTTTTTTCAACTCCTGATGCTGCAGGTAACACACTGTTTACCCACAGCATATTTTTGCCATAATTTGCAACAAGGTGCTTCCCTATCCTGTTCCCAGTGTGCTCTGTCCTGCTTGTATGAATCACAGCATGCTCCAGACTTTGGGGCCAAAGCAGAGGGAAATGAGATGATGTAAAGAAGAAAAGCCAGGCCTTTTCCTAATGCAAAGTCTTGGGTGCTGCAAATCAGCCTAAGACTAATCACAATTAGGTGTCTTTGCAGGACCTGTATTAGTGCTATTTAATTCCCCATTAAGGGTGAGGAAACGTCCAGAAAACATATCAGATATGCTGCTTATCACATAGGATTAGCCCCCAGCCATCACTCGAGTGAAGCAGGTCAGGCAATTTTTAGTTATACCTTCTGCCACTCAGCTTGATACTTTCCATGCGTCCTTATCAGTGTAAGCACTGAAGCACAACCTTAAAAAACACAGCCAGGACTCAAGGTCTTGACTCCACTTTCCAACATTTTACTTGAAATTTGTATTGGACATGAGCCATTCACATCCTGCATGGACTTTGACCATTACATCTAAGAGTGATGCACTGCTTATGGCTGAGTGGGAACTGTCAGCATTATCCATAGATCCATTCAGGTTGGCAAGGAGCTCTCAGATCCAAGCCCAGCCCTAACCCACCCCTCCATACCCACTGACCACATCCCTCAGTGCCACATCCCCACAGCTTTGGAACACCTCCAGGGACAGTGAGCCCACCACTCCCTGGGCAGCCGTTCCACTGCATCACCACTCATCTGGAGAGTGAACTGTTCCCAATATCCAACCTGATCCATTGTATGGGAGTGAATGCCACGGTCATCACAAGCTCTGAGACAAACACTGTATTTCCTGACAAGCTAAAACAGTTTTCTTTCTCTCCCCAAAGCATCCTGATCTTCATGGCACTCAAAAACAGCAAGACGGGCAGTCTGCCAGTCAGCGAGATTTACAATTTCATGACAGAGCACTTTCCTTACTTTAAGGTGAGTTCTGTGCCTAGGCAGGATGTATGCACACAGTGCAGTGTGTAGTGCAACTTAACACAAAAGTTTATTAAGAACAGCTCCAACTTGGAGCTTGCATAGATAACAAGCAGCCACTCCTCACCAACAGCTCGTAAAAGGGATAAATATTTCTAAAAACAACATCATCCCTTCCTCTCAGATACAGGCAGAACTGGTCCTATGGCTTCCCTTGCCATTACAGTACCTCCAAAATCACGGAAGCAGAGGCATGGAGATATCTGCATGGAATCGTTGAGTTGGAAGGGACCTTTAAAGGCCATCAGGTCCCACTCCCTGCAGTGAGGAGGGTCACCCACAGCTCCATCAGCTGCTCCGTTCTGGAGCTGGCATGTCATCTTGGGCAACTTCATCTCTGGCATGCCCTGTAAAAGGAAAAGTATAAGATGTGATAAATGGTACTAAGCTCATAATTACACGGTCATGATGGTGAAGGCATGGATGCACAGCTTGCACCAGATGCTATTGAGATTTAAATCCGTGCTGTAGGAGCAAATGGCTTCTTGCACTTGGGATGCAGGTGGGAAGAGATTAGTCAGCATGCAGCCCCAGAGCAGAGGGATTACAGTTAGATCTAAAGAGAGCTGTAATTGAATTGCTGGCTGCTGCTCTACACAGGGCTTTGTTCTTGCTGATGCCCCAAAAAGTCTTGCTAAATGTCCAGAGCAAGTGGCCTACAGCTGTTAGCAAGACCTAAAACCAAAGCAATGCAAGGCTGTTGTGCTTCCTATTGCAAATAAGCATGCAGCAATCAAATAGATCTAATGCAGCTACAGAAAGACGATTCAGATATCCTGATTCAAATGTCCTGATACAATCATACAGCAATGTCAAGTGGTTCTGAGGATAAATAGCAATAAAAATTTAAAAAAAATTAAATTAAACATGCCAATAGTCAGAGGGTAAGAAAGCACATTACCATCTTCTAGGAACACAGCATGGAGGAGTTTCAAGTGGAGAAGTGGGATTACTAAAATCAGTTTTACAGGCATAGCGGTGCCCACAGCAGTTCATCAGACCAAACTGAAGTTGCTTCTCCTCTGTCTTCCAGCACAGCTTTAAATAACTGTTTTAGCCCAAATCCAAACCTCGCTCTTCTCGCTCATCAGAACCCATCTGTTCCATGGAAGGGCTTCTTGCAGATCCTCGTGGCTTTCTCTTCCATTATTTATAAGTCAGTGGGAATGAGGTCACAGCCTCCATGTACAATATAGGCAAAGAATGGTGCTGGTGTTATTACTGGAACAGTCCAAATTTTGCAACTTTTTTCTGCCTTTTTTTTTTTTCTTTTTACTTAGAAATACAGTCAAACAATTGAATATTTTCATCCCAAACATCATTAAATTAAGAACAGAATAAGCAAATGTGCTTATAAGGACTAAGCCCTACCTCCGGCCGGTCTTTAAGGCAGGCCATGGAATTACCAATATATGACAAAAACCATATTTTAGAGAGACTTTTAACAAGATAAAGTAATATAGAAATCAGCAAACAGCCTCGTGTTGGTGCTACAGAACTCGGGATTCACCAGGGGGAGGGGAAGCAATTAGAGTAGAACTGAAGGAGAGCACAAGTGTGTGTAGAATCTTGCTGGGAGACATGAGATGATACAAGCCTAGTCAAATTAACTCGTATTCGCTGCCACAGCAAATTCAGTTTCTATGATGCAACAATCTCATTTCTAGTTGAAACAGAGCAATCCAACTCCTACGTCCCAAAAAAAAAAAATAATAATAATCTACACAGCTGAAGGTGAATTACTCTTTGATGTACCTCTCCCTTCTCTTGAGACCTAGATTTAAAGAGAAAGAGTTTTGCAAGATCACTGAACTCTTTAAACTTCAAGAGGCTGTTGGGATCAATGGGTCTGCACAACCACCTTTTTTGGCTCATCATCCTTTTTTCTGCTTCAGTGCAATTAGAGAGTTGAACGCTGAGCTTTCATCTCGTTAATTGAGCTATTTCCAGTGGTCCAAGAGGTTGGGAAGATCCAACGGAACCTAATTCCACATAACTTCCACGCTGCTCTGGAAGCAAGGGTGGCCAAATCACGGCAGCAAAACAACTCCAACTGTACAATGGCAGCTCCAGCAGGCAGAGCTCAGTTCATTAACCGAGCATCAAATGTGAAAATAAAAACTGGTGACAGAGCAGTACTTCTAACGCTGTGTTGGAGCATTCCTTCAGGGCTCAGCTAGGTAAACAACTATTTCTCACTGCTCAGCAGTCCCGAGTTTAGTGCAAGAACCTGTTCAACCCTTGGCAGCGCTCCCCGGAATAAATCCGTGTACTTTTTGCTTTTACGTTCCTAAAACGATCTCACCATTCACACCCCCACACATCTGAAAACCTCTGAGAAACACACGCCACTCCCAGCGCCGAGCAGAAACACTAATTATCCTGTCTAGATACAGACAGAGGTTGGTGCAGCCTCGCACACACGGCCAGGAGTGTGAGCGCTCTCCCAGGCAGCAGCTAATTGCACACCTTCCCTTGGAGAAAGTGGGATTTGCTTTTGGAGCTGGCAGAAAGCTGCTTGGATGCTGTCTGCAAGGGGCAAAAAACAGTCATGGTAGAACCACCGAATCATTTGTGTTCGAAAAAAAGCTCTGGATCCCCAAGTGCAACCCCAACCCACCCCGCTGTGCCCACAGCCCTCGGTGCCACGTCTCCTTGGTTCCTGAACACCTCCATGGGCAGCTGTGCCGACGCATCCCCACTCATCTTCAATCTTACCCTACAGCAGAAAGGGCTGTAAGGGGTTGGGTTGGGTTTTTATACTGATTTTTTAATAACAGAATTGCAGGTTGACTCACCTACGGGATTGGCCAACAGAACGGTGAAATGCTGACATCAGGTGGACAAAAGGGTAGAAACGGTGCTGTTGGGAAAGGCAAATACTTCCTGTTGTAGCAGATGACACGTGTTCAGCTTTCACAACCAAGCAATATTTTGAATGAAGAAGGAAGTATTAAATTCATGGGAATTTGCCAGAAATGGAAAATGTGGTCTTGTCCAGCTTGTAGCGAAGGTCTGCCTCGGGGGATAAGGAGTTAATGTTCCAATGGAAGAATCCAAAGGTCAGATTTCATAGAATCTACAGAATCCTATGATTCTATGGAATTCCTATAGAATTCTATGATTGCATGGAATTTCTGTAGAAGACAAGGAAGTGACCCATCAGGAATTCACCATAGGAATCCTATGATATGAACCAGCACGCTCATATGCAGCATCTCAGTGTGATAAGCAGTTTCTTTTTCCTTCTTGCAAAACTGTCCTCAGAGTAAGGATGGAATTTTGCTTGAGCAGAAACTAGAAAATACACATGGAAGAATCACTTCAATGCACTGTGAGGTTTAAAGAACCCCCCAGCTTCCACCACTGGCTTAAAAATAAGCGTAAAGCAAAAAAAAGTGTAGCAGTCAAGTGTAGAAACCCATATTTCAGTTGTAAGGCACGCAATTAGTCCACTTGGGCATAAGAATAACTTTCCTTTTGTTTTGGTTTTGGTTTTTTTTTTAACCAGTTTCATAACGTAGAGAATTGATTGCTTTTTTTTCCTTGAAAAACCATTCTTAGATTGGCTTTGTGTTTCCAGACAGCCCCGGATGGCTGGAAAAACTCCGTGCGCCACAACTTGTCCTTGAACAAATGCTTTGAGAAAGTTGAAAACAAATCAGGCAACTCTTCTCGGAAAGGCTGTTTGTGGGCTCTGAACCCGGCCAAGATTGACAAGATGCAGGAGGAGCTGCAGAAATGGAAGAGGAAAGATCCAGTGGCTGTGAGGAAGAGTATGGCAAAGCCAGGTCAGTAATAAGTGAGCGTGGTCGTTCTCAAGCAGCAGTCCACAAGTTGCTTTGCAATGCACACCAAGCCGTGCAACAGCATTTATGCACTACTTAGGAAATATTTAAGGATGTTTCCTTAATATAAAGTCAAAAAAGCAGAATTAAAGACCAGGTTTTGCTTCTAAATAGGCACAAAGGCGTTCTATCGTAACGCTTGGTGAGATGTTAAAGCAACACTCAATTAAGTCCTGTGGAATAAAACTGAAATTATCCAATAAATCCCAGCCCTTAAACACGACAATATAATGTTCCTCACTCACATTCAGCACTGATTATTTAGAAGAGCATTTCAGGCTTTTGGAGTTATTATCCTATCCTAGGTTAGCGCTTTTGTTTGCCATCACACCCACCCATTCCCCGGCTGCAAGCGATGAGGATGCAGGCTCTGCAGGAAATACCTTATGGATTTCGTTTTCCTTTGTTTTGTAGAAGAGCTTGACACGCTGATAGGCGACAAAGGTGAAAAGCTGCGATCTTCCATCATGTCGTGCAGTCCTAACGGCGTTGCAGGTGCGTCCCTCTCCAGGCAGATGGCAGTCCAACCCCACTCCTTGGGCGAGCCCTCGCTTTCCTCTGTACCACAGCCTCTGCATCCCATCCACACATCATCAGGAGCTCTCCATGCCAAGAACACGTTGCCAAACTTGCTCGGAGGGCAGCAAACCGCATGCTACACCGCCCCACAGGGCTTCCCTCCAATCTCAAGCGCGTTAATGCCTCAGACACCAGACCATCAGACAATGTTTCCTTCTGGGGAGGCTCCAAACGAACTGCGGGGTCAACCCAGCATCACCCAGGACTCCCCACTGCCTGCCCAGACCCCCCCGAGCTGCGGCATGAAGGTGATGACAGAGCACTGCACAGCCCGCACGGTGCCCGACCCTCTGCTGCAGGAGGGGGACCTCAGCAACGACATCGATGCTCTGAATCCATCCCTCACCGACTTTGATCTCCAAGGTAGGGATCCCAGGTGGTTGTATGGCGTAGATTTGGGCGTAGTACATCACAGCCCGACACAGTGACAGTATTCTGGCCACTGCCCCCAGGAATCATACAATCGTTAATGTTGGGAAAGACTTCTAAGATCATGAGTCCAACCATCAACCCATCTCCAACATGCTAACTCATAAAAGCATTAAGGTTGGAAAAGGGCTCCAAGATCATGAGTCCAACCATCAACCCATCCCCACCATGCCCACTAACCGTGTCCCTCAGGAAGAAACCTTCGGTGTTGAAGATGAGAAACACAGCCCTGCTGCAGTCCCTTAGCGAGTCCTTTCACTGAGATATGTTTAATGGAAAGATGAGAAGCTTTCTGTTGCACTTTAGGAAAAAAAAAGCCAAACCATCATAGAATGGGTTGGGTTGGAAGAAACCCCAAAGCTCATCTAGTTCCAACCCCTGTGCCACAGGCAGGGTCGCCAGCGATTAAGCCAGGCATCAGTTCAGGCTGCCCAGGGCTCCATCCAACGTGGCCTTGAACGCCTCCAGGGATGAGGCATCAAATCATATTTCTGATTTTTCTTTGTCATGAAATCATACATCCAGTAATTCAGCATGCCATCAGATAAGCCACGTCACACAAAGACAAGAAGCCCAGTTGGGCAGTAATATTACCTGCAGATTCCCTTTCAGGATCTTACAAGAAACTAGAGGCAATTTCTCCTTTTCAAAATCGGGGTTTTCTTTCAACAAGAAGTTACACTTCATGAGGGCTCAGTTAGTGGCCATGGTGGGGATGGGTTGATGGCTGGACTTGTGGTCTTAGTGGTCTTTTCATACCTTAATGAACCTGTAGTTCTACTATTCTATGATACGTGTGCAACAGAATCTTGCCAAAATTTTCAAGCAAAGTTATTCTCTTAATTCTGCTTTCTCCAAGATTTATGTTTTCATGGAAACACACTAATAACAACTAAACCATCGCAAGTGACTGAGAGTACTTACACATACGGCACACGTAGCTGTGTAATTACCTATTTCTTGGGTGTTCCAAAAAGCACAGGTAAAGAAAGTTAATCAATCCTTTCTGTTTTGTCCCAGGCAACCTGTGGGAGGAGCTGAAGGATGACAGCCTAGCTGTGGACCCCCTGGTTCTCATTTCATCATCCCCAACGTCTTCCCAGTGTTTCCCTTCTCATTGCCAGATGGAGAACAGCAACACAGCCGTCATCCCACATGGAACCCCACACAGTAACCTACCCGACCTCCAGCTCACTACTCTTTACTCTGCCTTTATGGAGTTGGATACAGTGTCTCCTGCCTACCTGAGTAATCCTGGATCCAAACCTATAGCACTGATGTGAACCACAGCTGTCATTCTTTCTGTCCACACACAGCCCAAGCCATCACATGTGCCAGACTGACATCTACTACAAGAGCTGAAATTGGAGTAAGAGACCTTCCAGAACTCGTCTGCAGGATATGTAGCCTTACTGTGATAATTTTCTACAGGTACTTTAAAAAAAGAAGAAAAAAAAAAAAAAAAAAAAAAAAAAAAAAAGAAAAATGGAAAGGAAAAAAAAAAGAAAAAGAAAACTATTTAAAGATAACACTATTAACTGCTGTGCCAGTCGACACCATTAAGGCACTCATCCTCTGCATCTTCCCTATACAAATGACTATAAGAAGAAAATGAACGATTTTCAGATATTTTTTATGAAAGCTGCTTGCAAAAAAAAAATACTCTAACTTATTTTCCGAAGCCAACGATGTCAACACCATCCTCTAAAGACCACTGCATAAATAAAACATCCTCATACTAAAACGTTTGTCGTCTCCTTGAAAGGATTTCTGGGTTTTGATAACAAGAACGCGACGCGAAGATTCTACGAGTATTACAAGACCAAGGAGTAGCTGCTGACAGACTAAACCAAAGCAACCAATGTGCTTTAATGAAAAATCCATGGTTTACTGTGTTTAAAAAGAAATTTAAGACTCTTTTGTGTTTTTTTTTTAATAAAACAGACAAACAAACAAACAAAAAAATCTGCTTTAATGGAATTTCTACTTGGCTGCAAATCATTTGTATTCATTCCTCTACTGTTGTCCAGATGAGCTGAACAGTAAGATGAGATATTCAAGCATTAAATCAAGATTTTGCTTTAATTTCTGCTATGCTTTTCTGATAAAGACAGAGAATGATAATGATTGCAGCTAGCCAAATCTGGAGAGCATTGCTATTTCAACTCCTAGTCAACATCCAGTGCATCCACTGGGGTCTTGGCTGGTGTTGAACTAGCCCACATTTTGGTATAACACACTGCTCCTAATGTGAATTAATACATAAGTGCACTCTCTTGGATGACATCTCCATTCATGCTCTACAGAAACATGGAATAATCTGAGCAGGTTAAAATTTCATACAATCATTCAGGTTGGAGAAGATCTCCCAGATCCCCAAGTCCAAACGCCAACCCATCAAAGCCGTTGGGTAAGAGGAGGTCACTTACACTCAGGTTCACATCTGCACCCTCAGCTATGCCTTCCAGCCTCAACTTAAACCAAAATCAGATTAGGGGCAGGCAGATAGAGAAGATTTAGGAAGAATACGTGTGACATAACCTCATAATCTCTCATGATGAAGGCCACGCTCGAGCCCCTCTCGCTCTGCATTCCTACACAACTAGCAATCTTCCCAATATTTCTACTTGGCAGAAGGAGTGCTGTCACTAAATTGCTTAAGAACACCCCAGAAGGGCATTAAGAAGTTCCACGAGTCTGAAAACACAGCAGAACTGTAATAAAGTATATGTGATTAAAGCAATCCTGGAGACCGGCACATGAAAAACCCATTAATACTGAGAGCATGACTGCAGACAATCCCAGGATGAGCTACAGAAACTCAAAATTCATAAATATTAAATATATATATATATAATTTTATTACATTAAGGATTTAATTTAAGTGGAAAGCAATTCATATATTCTAAGATCTCCATTCAGCAGACCGTGGTATTCTTTCAGATGCACTAATGCATTCCATACATGCAATCACACACATGATCACAACCAGGGGAGAAAAAAAGAGAGAAGCCTAAGCTTCATAATATACTCCTTATTTTCCATGGTAAGAAGCCTTTGAAGAATGACCAGATGTCAAGCACAGAAAGGGAAATTCACACCCTGACGTGTTTTTCTTGTATTTTTGCACAACTTTCTTGCCATACTGTATCAACAAGGCTTGTCCTCCCTATGTAATTGCTAATTTATTCTAAGCACTTTATTTTTTTCCAATGCATTCTATATGTGAGACAGAAATTAAAAGTCATTCCGTAGTTTTTCTTACGCTAAGAAAAAAGGAATCATTCATTAAAAAAGACTGCAAGTTATTAATTTATATAAATAATCTGGGTTCCCTCCCCTCCCTTTAGGCTCTTCTATAGAGAGTTTCATTGGCTTGCTTCAGTGCAGCATTACTGATTATGACATGCACATAAAAAAATAACAAACACTGACATATGGGAACGTGAAGAAAGATCTGTATGATAAATTACAATTCCAGAAAAAAAAATTAAAAGAAAAAAAGCCTAACCTACACCATGCAATGAGAATTGTGCACACACTGCAAATCTCTGTGAGATACATTTGTGTTAAAGGCCATTTTAAGTAGCAGCGCCAATACAGGGGGAAAAGAATGAAGTTCTCCCGGTCTGAGGTTAATGATGTTTGCTTAATCAGCCTGAATCAACAGCATTATGCAAACAAGCGAGAAAAACAATCTTAATTACCATAAAAATATATCATTATGAAACAGAAGAAAGTGCTCGCTCTTGCCCTCTCCAGCATACGATTAGGAAAACATTTGCACTCTAAAGTTTAGGATTTATTAGCTGAACTCTATGTGTTTCATTTCAACATCAGAAAATTCAAAGAACAGAAATTATATTTGAACTCTACTTTCAGGTTCTTCCTTGACGTGAGCTCAGATTTTCTGTTGGCAGACCTCTGACCACAGCAGGCTGCCTGCTATGCGTTTCCCTGCTCCTGTTATAAAATCATCACCTCCGAAGGCTCGTTTCCTTTTCTACATACTGCTCTTTTCAGCTTAATCTCTCAAGGCCTTGGCACAGCGCTGAGCCACTTAGCAGTGTGATTAATGGTATCACGGGGCAGAGAAAGCACTGCGCAGAACATCAGCGCCGCTTCACTCTCACGTGGGATGAAACAAACATTTGGAGTGCAGGGCTGCGGTAACTGATGGTTATTGATCACTAGGGAAAGTTTCTCCTCATAAGGAGTGTTGGTGGCAGCAGCACGGCTGCACAGGGAGGTGCTGGGGTCACTGTGGAGGTGTCCCAGGGCTGTGGGATGCGGCACTGAGGGCTGTGGGCACGTTGGATGGACCTGTGGATCTGAGAGCTCCTTTCTAACCTTCATCATTCTGTGACTCCACGTCCTCGAGAGCCAGAATTCCTTTCCCAGGACTGAGCTCGCGCTGACCTTGCTGCAAATTGTTTCTCCGCAGATAACGCAAGGCAGGCACACAGCGACGAGCCTCGGTTGCTAAAGCTGGCGGTTCAGCTGGCCCACTAATGAAGCACCAAAGCATCCCTTTGCTCAGGAGCCCATTTCTGACCCAAAGATAAGAGAAAAAAAACCGTTGGACTTTTTACTCCCCACAAAAGCAACCAGGCTTGGTCATCGTGAGGTGCATTACTCAGTTTTCTTAATCACCAGGAAAGCAATTACACCAAGTAAGGTGCAGTGCACAGGAGGGAGCAGGACGGTGACTGATGGCCTCACCTGACAGCCAGGTGGCCATCGGACCCACGAGTGGCAACTGCTGGTGGGGACATCCAGCCCCACTGGAGGGGGACTTGAAGGAGGAAGGGCTGCTGAGTAGAAACCACCTCAGCACAGCGCAGGCAAAGCTGTGCTGGTGATGGCACATTGAAGGAAATACAGAGGGCCCTGCAGTGGGTGGGGATGAGTAACGAGCTATAAATGAGGCAGGTGTGGCCCTGCAGTATTTCCTATGCTTTGCTTTCCTCCCCAGAAAACCACCACAGAAGCGGCAGCCCGCAGGGTTTGTGTCATGCGCTGTGGGCACAAGGGCTTGGAAGGGCCTTTTAGGAAAAGATGATGTGAGCTATGAGTTTTTCAGTAGAAGTAATCTTTTTTTTTTTTTCAAAGAATGAGGGAAGGGGATTTGCCCAGCCTGGATGAGCAAAGAATTTAAGATCTCATTCATCAACTACTGAAGAATCTAACTTCAACCACATGAAGGAGCCCAGCGTGTTTGTGCCTGTTGGAGGCACCAGGTTCGAGTGATCGCTTGCGGCGTTTACCTTTAGCTCCATAACTTTAGAACATCAGAAGAAAAAAAAGAAAGCGAAGGGGAAAAAAAAAAGAAAGCAGAGAAAGGAGGAGGAGAGAAAGAAGGAGGAGAGAAAGTGGAACCCCCACTATGGAAAAAAAAATTACTATATCCAATAGACCAAACTGCAGTGCTTTTGGTGCAAGATTTTGCTTTGGGTAGAAATAATCTCTCATTTCAGCTTTAAAGAAAGCTTCTCATTTCAGATTTAAAGAAATCTGAATGCTATCTGAAATAATAGTTGCCAAAGAGGTGACACTTGTACTTAGATTTCCTGCGAGTGTCGCCTGCCAGACAGCCCCAGGAACCCTATGCATCTATTTTTTCAGCTGCAAAGTACATTTCTGTAGTATTGTTTCAAACCTGATTTATAGCATGTAGCAAAACTCCACTAATTCTTGATCTGGAACCATCACCTGACTCACTATAGCTGAACTACGAAGGTGCTACCTTATCCTGTTTGCTATTTCCCTCTTCTGATTCATTCTGTCCCTTAAGCAGGAGAAGGAAAACCAAAGATGTTTGGAACTCGTATCCTCCATGATATATTGATATTCATAACATAAATATCATTATGTATTTCATGTATCACAACTTCCCTGCCTGCTTTTATTTCTTGCTACGCATTACTTTCGTGCGCCAGCTTCATTAAGTCACAGGAAGATGAACCCCTTGAATAATGGCAGAAGAATTACAGCACGGTGTGAGCATGCACGATGTGCACGGAGCTGATAGTGTAAGAAACATGAGGGGCAACCAACATCTCCGCTTAAAATCAAAGTTGGAGTGCATCCCCACCACCGCTGAGCAGTAACCCCACCACCAACCTGTGCCCAGGTCACTGCAGGGTTCAACGCAGGAACGTCACACAGCTCCAAAAAATGAAGATGGAACGACCTCCTCTGGCTCTGCTTCACTTCAGATGTTTTGCCTTTGGTCACCGTGGCAGAGACACGAATCACGATGCTGCACCAGCTCCTACAGTCAGTTCTCCATAGAGCAGCTGGCAGAGTTTTCCAAAGCACAACCAGCTGCAAAGCCGCCATCTGCAGGAGTTTTGTTAGCGAGCTTGGAGAATAATTCACTGTAATTATGCCCCGAAAGATTCTCACCCATCAGAAGGCTGAACCCCATTTCAAACCTGAATTAATTGTCCTCCTTACGTAGCTACAAGCCACAGAATAGCTTCTACACGTGCACTGTCATCACCTGAAAGTGAAGGTGGTTGCATCCACTGAGGCAAAAATGGCATTGAAACATTGAAGAAAAGCAATGAAAATGTACTTTCCATGCTCTAATATAAAAGTCTATCGTTAAATAACACACACACTATCAAAGATATAGCATTAAAGAATGGACAACACCTCCATCTCTAAGATCAATAGTTTATTTCATTTTAAATTTATTTATTTTTTTACATTTTGGATGTTACAGGAGAAGAAACACTTGCTAAGGAGAGTGACACGTTGAACCATTTTCCCTTGGTCATGGAAGAAATTAAAGCATATTGCCTAGATACACATTTATGTCTAAACTGCCAATATTCAAGTCAGCAAGTGTCCATCCCTGCCCCATCCTTGCGAAGGTTAGATTGAAGTTCTCTCCTCCTACAGGGAGACTGAATTGTGGCCTCAATCTTTGTTCTCCCCCTTTATCCATCCGCAAACAAGTCAAGCAGATGGAAACCAAAGCCACAACAGTGGAATCATTGCCAATGTTCCTTTTTTACCTTCGTTTCCAACCAGTTCCTCACTGCCCCAGAAGGTACAAAGAATTATAAATGAACTGGATAAAAATGCTCCTAATGTTTTCTCAATGGCATAATAACTAGAATCCTACTCTCCTTCCACAAAAAAATATATAGATATATATAATTTTTTTATATAAATACATTTTAATACAGACAATCCTGACTCTATGCAAAAAAAGAAATAGTCAATGTCACATTCAAACAGGGTTCCTCAGTGTAGCATTGGGGTGCGAGCAGAAAGCACAGTGGGCATTAACACAGTGATTCTAGGCAGGCAGTTACTACAGAACAGATACAGACACACAATTCCACCCTCAGTCAGGCTGTGATATCAGATTAAGTGAGCATCACATTCTTCTGATACAGTTCCGTGCTTAGAAAATGAGATGAACAGCCAACGAGATTTCATGGAGGGGAACATTTGTATAAACAGTGCTCCATAGTCATCACACCTGTGCTGGGCACAGAAAAAAGGGCTGCTGGCATAACCATGGGATGGATGGAAGGGACCTCAAGGACCATCCACCACTTCCAATGCCTTGCCCACTCCAAAACGCCAGAGAAAAAGCATTTACATCTGTAACACCACCAAAACTTTGGGTTCCAACCAGCTGCCATCAACATTTTTCCTGTCCTTGTCCCCCTCCCTGCTTTTCTTACCCCAGAGATATCTTCTACCACTGCAGTCAATGCATGTAAACCCATCTCATGACCGTCACAACACACACAGTTCTGATGGCTCTTCATCGGTTGGCCACCACACAGTTTCCAAAACTGAAAAGACTTTCTGCATTAAGAATGGGATAAATCCCCATCAGGGGGAGTTAATTCAGAAACGTCACGATATAAAGGACATCTTCAGCATATATATACATATATGGTGATAATTTAGGCTTTGCTCAATGACAGGAGAAGAAAACTCCTGAAATTTAAACTATTCTTGGTGTGTTCTTGAAAATAAAACTTTCTATTTCTCCCTTTGAAGTTTGTGGATTATTGGACCATGCAGGCAACCACAAACGTTTTACCACTGTTCTTCCTTGCAAACTCTGAAATGTAAGTGAATTTCAAATAAAATAAGAAAGTTTGGGATATAACTTCCCTATTGTTTTTTAAAAAGGACACTATTAGCACCCACTTCTTCATCTCAGGTTAATTCACTACCAGTACACATCCAGTCGACGTCACATGGAGAGAGACAACGACTCACTGCTAACATAATCTAGGTTGGATTTTGATGTGGCTTGCTTTTTTGTTTCTTTTCGTTCAGAAAGCCAGAATTTTCCACTCTGGTTCATTCAAACAGCGCTGAATAATTAAAATCATTTTGAAAATGAGAAAAATAAAATCATCATTCTGGTGCTGCTCGTGGGCAAAAGCAGCGCGTCCCAAGTCAACAGCGCAGATTTCCACCTGGTTGTGCAGCAGCATAAAGGAAATTCCCTCCTAGTCAATAATTTCCATGTTTGTAAATAGTGTGAGTGGAGATTTTAAATACATGCAAACATGTTTGCATGGGAAACGGAGCCATAATGATAACTGTGGCAATGGGAAGCACAAAAGGACTTCCATTGCATATCCCACAGGAAAGTCCTGTTGTTTCCATTGGCTTAGGAATAGGAATTTATTTGTAGGAAATTGTGGAGGCTTAAAAAAAAAAAAAAAAAAAAAGAAAGAAATGAAAAGGGAACAGACCTTGCTCTGAAAAGCTGAAGTTCAATAGGTTGGAATTGATGCTATTAAAAATGCCCCACACTTTTCTCCAGGTTTAAAGTACTCCTATCATTAGAAAACAAAACACATGTAGTAAAATATCTCCCATGTGACTCACACTGAATTTTCTATTAGCCTGAAATTACGAGCCATCCAATCTCAATTAGCAGAACAGCAAGCAGAGCTGGGGACAGAGAGCAGCACGGATAGTTTGTCCTCTTGTGTTCAACCACCCGATGCGGGATGTCAGGAAGTCCATTCAACAGAACTGTTGGGAACTACTGGGAAAAATGCAACTTCATGTTCTTTTCTTGTAGGGACCTACTGAGCTGATTACAGCATTATTTTTTTCATGAGATTACTTCCGTTTTTGAACTCCTATAAAGGGAGGTAGCATTAAAAGGGACCAGAACACGACTCAGAGAGCTCGGCAAACAACGCTTTGCACATTGGTCAACGTACAAAGATGCTCGGTTGGATAACCCAAGACTGATGAGAGTCTGCACCAAAATAAAGGAATACACAAAGACAACAGAGCTGTTTGGAAGGTAAGACTGGCAATTCTGGCCAAGCACCCTCACTAGAAGTGATTATGATGAACAGCAGGAAAGTGCTGAGAGATAGGAGTGATTAAAAGAAATAAGCAACACCTACAGCTGCACAGGGTGCCACTCACAGACGCTCTTCTGTCTTCAATTTGCTCACTCCAGAGTCGAAACAAAACCAACGCTCAAATTTGCACGATGTCACTGAATATAAAGATGAAGGGAAAAAAGGGTGGGGAGGACATAGACTTTTGGAACTGTTATCACCTTTAATCATTACTGTGCTATAAAACTTGCTGATCCGTAGCTCAAAGCGTAATACAAATACGGAGGAAACGCTTTGCAACCCTCAAACAGCCGTAGGCAAGATGTTGAGTTTTATACATTACCAACAAAAAGCAGCAATAAATACAAGTCTCATCGTGATAAGAATTACTGATTGATAGCAGCCGTGTCAGAACAGTGGTTTCTACACACTTTCTTAACAATCAACCTTAAAAAAAAAAAAAAAAGCTGTAACCCAAACTCATTGTATTTTCTTTAGAAAATGGAATCCTTCAAGTGATGGAGTCCCCATCCCTGGAGGTGCTGGAGAACCATGGGGATGTGGCACTGAAGGATGTGGGCATGGTGGGGTGGGTTGGGGTTGGACTCGGGGATCTGAGAGCTCTTTTCCAACCTGAACGGCTCTGTGATGCTACGAAACGTCCCCACAGCTGACAGCCATCTACCAGTAACAGCACGCAGCCTCCCTGCTCTTACATCCCATCTGCAACCACTCGTAGTTCTCCTGTTTGACTTCAGCTGCGACCAAGGAGAGGTTCGTCACGACTGGAAATGGTAGTTTATAAAAATTAGTACAATCACATGTATCTGAGGCTAACATTGAACATTCCACTTCAACTCACAGGAACAGACATGGAGACATCAAGTATTTATAGGAATATCTACAGACTGCAACTGCCTTTTTTTCCTCTTTTAAACTATCACTGATCTTTAGAGTAAGGGTTTCATGACAACAGGCAATTGGGAAAAATGAAGGAGGGAAGCTTTGACCCTGCACAACCTTCTCAGGTTTGGTTTTGCATGCACTATGCTATTGACACTGCTACTTCATTGCACTATTATCTTCCTAAGAAGTGCATCCTGAGAAACTTGTGCAAGGTTGTTCTTAAAGTTCTTACAGAGAAGGCTTAAAGCCTGACATTATTAGAGTTGCTGCTTCACCTGTATTCATACCCAGTGCAAAACAAAGGGAAAAAGCTGACATAGCACACTTCAAATTCAGATACAAATGAGAGATTAGACATTCCACACTTTCTGACTGCCTTGGACAAATTAGTGTTGCTCTAACGAGCATTGCTGAAGCCCTTGTCTTAGTGTTGAGCACAGATTAAAGAAACAGACATGTATGACACATAGCACGGACAAGCTGAATGGTAGCTATGTAAAAGCATTAAATAAAGCTAAAATCCTTTTCTTTTTTGTTTTTTTTTTTTGGCCAGACTGGATTCAGTTTGCAGAAACTGAAATTAATGGAGGATGTTTAGAGGGCTTGTAGACACCCAACACTATGTTCTTCCATCTGAAATGCAGCACAGTACCTGATGAAACTAGTGGTCTTCACTGCATGTTTCATTGCTGCCAAGATTTCAAAACCATTATACAGAAGGAGCAAAACAAAGGGATGAGATGCTTATTTAGAGCAATAATCCAAAAGATGAAACTTGATCCTGTAAGGTTTTCAGCTGGATGTACAGGTTAAAACTGGCCGTGCTTTTGAAGCATTCACAACAAGAGCCAACCAACCAAAACTCTGCGCTCGCATCCGTCCACTCACATTGCATTTCTCAAATTGCTTTTTCCGAAACCATCGCGTCCCAAAGGATACGTGAGGGAAGTAGACAGATCTGCAAAATCCCACAAGGTCCCACAAGGCCATGTTCAAAGCAGACACCTGAAGAACATAGGGAAGTGGCATCCACAGTTCGCGTAGCATCGTAGAACCGCTCAGAGCTCTGAAGATCTGGGTCTGCTCAAAGAGATGAGGCTGGCCAGTTTGGTCATGAAACTCCTACTGTGGCAGAGTCCTTGGTTTGTGGATCCGTGTCCAGATGACGTTGTAGGCAACTGAACCCAAGGTGTTGGTGTCCCTGATGACTTCAATTGGAAAGCAAAGGCCAGCCCAGGTTGGCTGCCCATCCCGCTCTCAAGGTCCTCCACTGTATGAATAATCTGCCTTGTTGTGCATCACCAGCTTGTTATCTACGAAGTAGAAACTGTCCGACTGTGTCTCGTATGGATGGAGGATCATCTCTCGAACTGCAGGGGGAAAAGAAAAATCAATTGTGTTAAACAGAAGCCCTGCTGAGACAACAGGCTGCGCTGGCTTTCCTGTAGACTTTGTTTGAAGGCTCTTTTAAGGAACTCATAACCCAGACATGTTGAGGCACCACACAACATCTAAGGGCTCTACCTATCCTCAGAACACTCTTGTGGTGTGACAATAAGCAAGCAGCAGTCAATCATTTCCATAGGCTGCAGTATGAGGACAAGGTTACTGACATACAAGATGAGAGGTTATAAAGACCATAAGGTTACACAGATTCAATTCTGATGCCCACACTAAAACACATGAGATAACATCACAGTAACCGAACTTACTGAGATCCTCCGAGAGCTGTGGGAATTCATAGATGTGCTCACACGTGTTCTTACTGCTGGGGATGCAGAATCCAAACTCAAAGTCAAAACTCTTCAGCAGCTGATCGCGGAAGTAATGCCTCTCAATCATGCGGAAGTTATTGATGGGTTTGTCCCCTACTGTGAATTCCACCCTGGAAAGGAAGAATGAGAGAGAAATGAGCTTTCTGCTCAAGAAGGGTTTCGAGCACCCCTACGTCAATCACTAGAAGTTCCTTATTGCACTGGATTGCCATTCAAGCTTATTTAATTCTTCTGATGGGTATTAAAAAAGCAGATGTACAAATAGACTTCCTTGGTCTATTTCTGCTTTATAAAGGGGGAGAAGTTAGAACCAGCACTATATATAAGTTTCTCTTTGCCACAAGGCATGATCTCTTAGAGAAAGGTAGGTGTTGGTTACATACGACGTGCTGAATTTCAACCTAGAGCAGGAGTAACACACATCAGTCCTTCAGAAACACACATGTGCACAGAACACACAGAACTCTCACACTGCAGACCAACTTCTAACCACCTGAATAAAATAGGTTTATACTAGGAGCTCTAACCAATGGTCAGTAGAGTACTGCGGACTTAATGCCATATTAGCAGTGGGCATACGCTCTTAATTAGATTGAATTTAAACCTCAGTGAACGTAAAGAAAAGCAGATAACAAACAGCTACCATGTAGTGACGCATATCCCTCTAAAATACCTAGTAAAGACTCAGAAGCCCACCAGCCTGCTCCTGGGGGATTGGGGCAGAAAGCAATAATTGGGATATTAGGGAAAAATTCTTCTCCAAAGAGCAGTGCTGCAGTGGCACAGCTGCATAGGGAGATGGGGGGGCACCATCCATCCATGGAGGTGTTCAGGAACCGTGTGGATGTGGCACTGAGGGCTGTGGTCAGTGGACATGGTGGGGTGGGAATCTGAGAGTTCTTTTCCAACCTGAATGATTCTGTGATTCTATATAGGCTAAAGTGATGGAGGAAACAAGGCATCCAGCAAAGATGTTGGGAGATCCCCATCGCAACAAACGGTCCCTATTAAATCAACTCAACTTCCTGGTGGGATCGACGAGCAAAGAGACACTTTTTACACATCCCAGTAGGAAAAGCAGCACGAGGAGCTGTTACTTACGTGGCCCCCACCTGGCGCAGGCGAAGGAAAGCTGGGGTGAACTGGTAGCGCACGAAGCGCCCCGCGTTGGGGTCAACGTCCTTCTTGTCATTGTGTTCACGCTCTGCAAAAGTGCAAAGACTGCATTGGGACAGCATTCCTTCCTAACAATCCCACTGTGGAAACTGGTGGTTTATTCCTCTGCCTCGGTGGCAAAGCTGCGCTCTCTTTCTGCACCCTGGGGCCAACCGCGTTGAGTTGGCAGAGTTGGAAATTGGTTCCCCTGAACAAAAAAAAGAACTAAAGGTCCCTCTGGCAGAACAGCGAGCAGACAAAGAGCCCTCTGTGTAGAGCCTGCATGAGCATGGCTGTGTATTTTCACTAAGAAAACATATATTCCGAGCAAAAAAGATTCCCAGACGAACGTTTGAGGCTCTGCCACCAAAATGAAGGACGCACAAAATACTATGAACTATCTAATAGAGATTCTAATCCTGATTTTCCTTGTCGAGGAAAGGTGAAAGTCTGGTTTTTGAAAGCGGTTACAGATTGGGAGCTTTAGAAATTATCTGTTCACTGTTAAATAGAGGATACTTAACAAAGTTAGTATGCAGTAGGTCCAAAGCAAAAGCAGTGTTAACCACAGCACAATGTTAAGCAGGGAGATTCTTTGCCATAGGACACAGGAGATTCTGCATTGGCTCAAGACATTGGTACATGGGCTCAAGAAATCAGGGTTATTAAATGCAAGGACATCATCTGCACAGTCATACATGAGCTGACGGGCTCATGAGCAGCCAACACATGCTGACCTCCTCCTCCTTTGCTTCTATTTACAACATCCATCTGTCCTTTCTCATCACAGATGGAGGTCATAATACAGGAGCAATTAATTCTGCCTGCTGTATTGGTACAGAGGAATACCTGAACAGTGTTTCTGCTGCAGGTTGGGAATCCAGCCCTCCTGCAGGTGAAAGTTTCTCCTGTTTGAGGGGACACGTTGAGTAAAAGGGATGAGAACAGGCCAAAGGAAGCAGGTGTTAATAATGGTTTGTTCACAAAGGCAATCCTGTGCGCACACCCACCTGATGCTGCTGGCTTGGTGATTTCAAACAACACTGTGCCCGATTCCATGTCCCGGATTTTAAACCTGGTGAAGTCTATTTTGTAAACGTTTTCCTCTGGAGTGCATAGGTAATCTGCAGAAGAAAGCACACTGACATGAAGGCTTTGTGCCTACGAAGGCAGAGCCAGCACCGCGTGCTCACGCTGCCCAGCACTCAGAGGTCATCACCTCTCCCCAACTTCGTGCCAGTTGCTTCCATTTCTCCTTAAGGGCATTGAGAGCAGTCAGCACCTGCACCAAATCCTTGCCTGCTCAGGGTAAGAGGCTTTGCCTTTTTAAAAACTGCCCTCTGGCAGAATGTGAGCACTAAGCAGCTTTACGGGCACTAAGCCGACTGCACTGACTGCAGCAGGATCCCCCTCCCCACGCCATCTCCCCTCTCTCCAGACAAAGCACGGCCTCTTCCCTCTGCCAACACTCATCCCACGCAAGGACTCATCATCCCTCGGCACTGAAAATGGCGTTGAAGCCTTTCCCTGTGCTGGGAAGCAGGGAGCCCAGGGCACCTTCCCCAGGGCACAAAGGCAAGTCTGGAGCTGCGTCTGTCTGCAAGTTAATTATTAAGTGCTTTCCTCCTGCAGAATTCCTGCCCATCCAGCACCATGGCAACAGCTTTATCCCCCTCCTTGGCAGCAGTGTTGCTACAGAAACAGTGTCCATGACTCATCCACAGGAGAGGAGAGCAAATCAGAACCAGCGGAAGGGAGAAAACCCCAAGCAGAATCCCCACCGGGCTCCTGCCCATCACTGCCTGCACCCCTGCACTAGTTTTGCTGATAGAAAATATTCAAGAACCTTGATTTATTTTGATAGGTGCACCCCTATCTAATCAGATGGCGTCTGGGGAAAGGAATCGTGGAATCATTCAGGGTGGAAAAGAGCTCTCAGATCCCCAGATCCAACCCACCCCATTGCGCCCACTGACCACAGCCCTCAGTGCCACATCCCCACGGTTCCCCAAAGCTCCAGTAGATGAAGTGGATCATTACAAGAAAGGGAGTTTTTGGTTCTTGCTTCTTTCACTTCCTCCAAAGCAGGTAGCGTTGTTTCCCTGCCGTGAACCCAATTATGACAGTGCCTTCCTGAACAAACCCTCACTTGATGCACCACTGATGAACAAGCGATGAAGGAATGGACACACGAACATCTTAGGAAACCCAGCAGATTGTCTCTTAGTCTGCAGTACCCAGGGGAAGTATGACAAAAACAAATCACAACAGAGGACCCTTTCCTCCTAAAGTACCGTGTTTGCTATATCCAGACCCAACTTTATTCATGTTCATTCATGAACTCCAAACCCAAAGTTATTCATGTTTATGACTATCTCAGGAGAAATAGAACAAGATGGCCTTAAGTAGCACCAGGAGAGCATCAGGTCAGATATTAAGAACTACTTACTCTCCAAAGAGCGGTGATGCATTGACAATGCTGCCCAAGGAGGTGGAGGAGTTGTCATCCGTGGAAGTGTTCAGAAACCACGGGGATGTGGCACTGAGGGCCATGGTCAGCAGACATGGTGGGCTCTGTATCAAGCCCAAAGATCTGCAAATGCCTGTCCTTACCAAGTAGGCTATTTAGTGGATGAAATTGGGTGTTACTCCCAAGGGGAAGAAGGAACTCAAGATCTGGTGGTGAAAAGGAATGTAAATTGTGAGGATGCTGTACGAGAAACAGACACAGCGACAGCGGCCTGCAGTAGGATCGCGTCTCCCCATCGCAATGACAAGAATTTAGGGAATGAGAAGCTTCCAGCTGCCATCCGGACCTATTTCTTAACATGCATTAGCCATCAAGGTCAGCGACTATTTTAAAGACCACTCCCAAGGTGTAAGCCAGGTATAAAGCAGAGACGACTGCAGAGGAATTGCTGGGAGCTGGAGATTAGGAGATTATCAGATTGAAGAGACTCAGGAGGAAGCGAGCAAAAAATAGCACCAGCCCAGCCAAGACTCGGAGCGGTGACGCAGGACAGAGTGCAGGACCTCGAGGGGAAGGCAGGGCACGTTTCCATTAAAGAAAGAACTCAACCACCTCCCTGCCCTCTGCCTCACCAGTTCAAATCCCACAGCTTTCCATTCCCTTCGCCATCCCTGTTGGGGACAGAGCGACCCCAAGGCCTTGGCAAAAGGGACAAACCCGCTCAGCTCAGCCCTGGTGCTCCCCGTACCCCATATGCGCTCCCCTGGAGATCTCACAGCCCATCTTGCAGTGTGAGAGTGCTAACAAAGCCCTTCCTCAGCACAGCACTTCAAGGTGGGAGCCGTCACCATGCCTTGAAAAGGTTCGTAGCAGCGTCTGTTGTGCTGCTGAGGGAAGAAGTCACGGTGACAGCAGCTCGACACAGCTCTGCAATATGGCTCTGCTGCAGGAAATCTGCCTATCAAAACACTTCCACACATCGCAGCCCCAGACAGTGATTCATTAACCCCCCCACCAACACCCCCAGTAATCAGGGCTCCTGATGCAGTGAGTGGTCTCAATTAAACAGGGAAGGAAGGGAAAGTCGTGGCTTCAGGAACAGCTCTGAAGATTGATCTGCACGCATTGCTTCATGATAACACAGCTCAGCTGGAATGCAGCGCACCCACCAGGTGCCTGCCCTGACCACTGGGCCCCTCAGACAGGCTGGCTAAAGCTGCTGCCTCTGAGAGATCCCAAATGACAGCTCACAGAAGAGATTACTTTCAGAAATGATTAAGCACGCCTTCCTTATTTTTAGGCTTTGTTTTGTAAGTGTTTCCAAGTATGTCATCAATCATTTATCCAACCTCTCGGTTTGCTAGCGTCAAAGATGCCCTCAGAACAAAACTTGGAATATAAAACTGAAGATAAGCCTTATCCCAGCAGCACAGACAAACTGTGCAGTTGCCCAGAGCTGTGCTATGCACGGTGCTCTCAGCCTGAAGCTTGCCCTTGGTTATGCATCAGTTTGACAACTGGCATCGTCACGTGGCAATAGGGGGATGGCAAACGCCGCGATGCCATCCTCCTGCTGACCACCCATGGCTCCCATCCCAAAGCCAAACAAAGAAATCAAAGCTGTGCTGGAATTAACCTCGCCTGCAGGCAACGTGGGAGCAGCACAGCGTGACCTAGCAAACATTCAGCCTGGTCGAAGGCGACAGGGACAGTGCTCAGCTCCTCTCCCTGCCCCACAACGCAGGACAACGTTGGCAGACGCACACCCCAATAACTGCAGACACACCGCTCTGATCCTCCTGCTGCTGCAGTAATTAATTGCAATTTGAACTGAGCTCTGCCCTGCTCCTTTGCTAATCCCAAGTTAATCACGTCACAAGGTTTTCCTCCTTTTGTAACCGCAGTTGGATGAGCAAGTAACGAATCCTGCTAATTGCAAAGAAAACGGGTCCCTCTGCTTTACGCCTAAACCCAGCCCTAAAAAGACCCAGACACACCAGAGCAGCACCCTGGGTCCATCAATTTGACCTTAGCGTGTCCAGAAGTGATGGAGGATATGCAGAACAGCTTGCACACTCCCCCTTTAAGCTTATTAGAAAGGCATCAGGAGCAGAGCCACAAGCAGCAGAATGAGTTCAACAGTGCGAGCTGCTGCAGTACTGGCCTAGAAGTTGGGATAAAAATGAGTTATCTGGAACTGTGAGGGATGGCCACAGCACCAGGGTAGTGCTGCAATTCCTGCCCAACCATCAGCTTCACGTGAGTTGGAACACCTGGATCTGGGGGTCAAAACTAGGGTCAGCAGGATACAAGTGGCCGTGGTCATGAGTTGGGATGACTTGGTGGCATAGGCACTAAGATCTGCAATGGAAAGAGTTAATTCAAGTAGTTTGAAGAAGAGAGCTTTCCTAAGAAGGAAAAAATGGAAGAGGAGTGGGAAAGAAGAAATTTTAACCACACACTTCTCCATCCACTAGTTTCTGACTGGTGCAATACCCTTTAAAAGCCATACATGACCATGCCACCACAAAGTCCTTGCCAGCTCCTCTTATTCTCCTGACGTTAAAACACAGACAGGGGGAACTATGTGCTGATCTTTCTCCTGGTCCAAGCAGCACTCGCCATGCTCTCCACCTCATATCCTCCTTCCCAATTCCAGGCATAACAAGCCACACCCCAGATACTGCCCTAACTACAGGCACCAAGGCTGCATACTGTACACACCAAGCTGCGAGGAGAAAGAATGAGGAAGGAGTTGTACCTGGGCTTCCATACAAACCTACAGGGATCTACGCACCAGAGATGGTGTGAACTTGGCCACATCCCCAATGCATGCAGGTCCTTTTGGGTCACAACTTCACACCTCCGCCATACACTCGAGCAGAAGCAGAGTAAGACACTTTATGGAGAGCAGGAAAGATGGACAGGAAATGCATGCGAGCGCTGCCCCATGGCAGCAGAGTTGCTCTCCCTGTGGAATGATCAGCTCAGCCTTCCTGAAAACATGGGTGCTTACCAAAAGCAAACAGCAGCATCAAGGCCAGGGTGCCCAGAGTTGAAGCCACGTGAGGTCTGCACACCCCAGTGGCAGGGGGAGGCCACGTGCCTGCAGCCCCCTGAGAGGGCACAGCTGCATGCAGAGCCACGTGGGCTCCCAACAAGCAAAGCACTGAGCGCAGCCATGGCTGGGACTCACCATCCAACTGCTGCTCTTCCAAGCGCGCTGGCAGCACGCTCCAGTGCCTGCTGCTCTGATTTCTGGGCCTGGGCAGTGAGTCACAGCCCAGCACAGCATCTCAGCAGGGAAACAGACACAGCAGACCCCCCAGATCAGCACTCCCTGCAGGGCTTCCTCCCCTCCTTCCCTCCACCCAACCTGTGCTGCTCCCTCCCCAAGGCTGCCTGCATGCCCCGATACCCACAGCCACATCCTTTCTTTCTGGGGCTTCTCGTGGCACAGCTCTGCCTGCAGCCCTGATCCTGCTCCAAGCACAGCCACCCATCACTGCCCCTTCCTCCCCTGCAGCAAGACAAAACACATGGGATGCAAAAAGGCCTTTTGGGGGCAGGAGGACACTCCACAGCCAGGCTGGCCTGGTGCATGTGCCATCTCCCAGCTCAGCACGCTGCAATCCCAACAGGTCCAACAGAGCTGCTGCCACACAAGCACAGCAGCCCCTTTAGCCCCATAGGATGCTCTCAAGACCACAGCAGCCCTACGGGGGTGAGAAAGGGGAAACCAAACAAACAGGAAGGCTGCAGGACGGTCATAACACTCCTCCCCATTGGATCTGTGACCCCATCTGAGCCCCTCCAGCTCCCCCCTCTCCCGCAGCTGGGGGTTCAGCCTGGCCCACCCATACGATGGGCACAATGAGCAGCATCCCACCTCTGACCCTGCTTGGGGGGGAGGGGAGGGTCCCACTCCGCAACGTGAGCATCCCTGCAGGTCACCCCCACCCCTCACCCTCTAAACCGGGTCTCCCTTCGCACCCAAAGCACTGCCCCATCCTTCACCCCATACAAACGCGGCGCCCCCCCGGCCCCGTACCGCTGGTGACCCGCTGCAGCCCCAGCACGTCGTCGGGCCCGATGAGCGCTTTCCGACCCAGCTCCTCCTCGGTCCTCGCTGCCGCTCCCCCGGCCCCGCCGCTCTTCTTCACCTTCATGGCCCCGCCGCCTCCTCCTCCTCCTCCGGTGTGATCGGCCCCGCTAAGCGCTGCCGCCGGCCCCGCCGCACCGGGAGGGGCAGCACCGCCCCCTGCACGGACCGCCCCCCGGCACGGCACAGCCCAGCCGGCAGCACCGCCCGGCATCGCTGCCAGAGCCCCGCTTTGCACCCCGACAGCATCGGGCTGAACGCGTTTCTTTTTCATCCGTACGACCCCAAAGGGGTTCCCCCCAACTTGAGAGCTTTTAGGTTAACGTGCCCAAGGGAAAAGCTCGACCCCAGTAATAAGACTCAAACCCAGTGCTCATCGACCCTATTAATAACCACCTACCAACAGCTGAACCCCACAACCCCCCTCCCCACCAAGTGTTGCAGGCTACGTACCTTTAAGACAGGACTCAGGGTGGACAAAACCCGGGGAGCAGGAGAGATTCGCACGGCCCCCGCCCTGCCATCCAGCCCCTGCACAACGGGGCAGATGGGGCAGGGGGGTTCTTTATTTACACATGAGCACAGCGCAGGGCTGTGGGGCGCATGCAGGTCTCCCTCCCTTCCCTCAAGTCTCAGTAAGAGGAGTGCAAGCAGCAGTTCTGAGTGGAAGGTGCAAGACTGACTGTGAGCATCTCTCACCCCTGAAAGCAGCTTCTTCCCACTCTGGAACACACCCCCAGTCCGGGCCTGAAGCAATGCAGCTCAGGGTGCCTGCCTGCACCATGATGCAATGCATTCCGTGGGGTCCCAGCCCTAAGGCAGGGCACCTTCCATGGGCTCAGTCCATCTTGGTGGGTTCCTTCTTGTTCTGCCTGGCCTCCCGGAGCATCTTAGCCAGGGAGAGGAGGATGGGGACAGCCATGGGCAGGAAGAGGGGGATGTAGATGGCAAATTTCTGGTCATCTGGGAAGTAGAGAAGATGGAGAAGAGAAGGGTCGAAGAATGCCCGTTCCGAGGAGGTGACAGCTTCCTTGCTGGCCTGGAAAGCTGAGTGCAGATGGCCCTCAGCCAGCTCTGCCACGGCATCCTGTGCTGCAGCCACCGCTCGGTATACCTGCACAGCAACACCACAGCAGTCAGTCCTCAACCAGAGAAGCAAA